TGTTTTCCCAGGAAAAAGAAAATGTGGATTTCCTCATAAAAGTCAGGTTCCTTGACAAAGAGAAAGTAAAACGTTCGTTCTCCACAGGCTTCTACTTCCATGGCTAGACTGGGCGAATTCCTTTTGCCACAAGTCTTGGTCTTGCACTCTAAATCAGGTCTCAAATCAGCTTCACAATGAAGGGGTTCCCCCACTGGAAGCAGTGGGGGGACATTTACTGGCAAACATCTGATGCCGGAGACTTCTGGGTACACGTGGTCATATCCTCCAATTACAAGCTGGAATTTCAGAACCAGCCCTGTGCCTGTTTTGGCCACCAAATGTGCTTTCATCTCCGCAGCACTGAGTGGATGTACTGAAAACTGTATCCCAACTTCAGACTAGGAGTTCTGATACAGGTACTATGGAAGAGAGATGCTAGGGTTTCTACTCAAACAGGGAGGCAAGACCTATTCTGAACCTGAAATCTTTAAAGCCTTTTTTTGAAAGTTACAATGTTCCAGATGGACTCTGAGATCAGTTATAGCAGCCCTTCTTTCGGGAGAATTCTTGACATGGATGGATATCAAGAATGCTTATTTACACATCCCGATCCTTCCTCCACACAAACATTTCCTTTGTTTTTCCAGTGGACAATCACTGTAAATCCCTTTGGTGAAATCATCCATGAGGGTCCTGGGTATCCATGGTGGCCTCAATCAAGGCAGTCCCAAATGCTCAGTGGCATTCCAGACCCCTGCAATACAAATTGTGCCGACCAGCAGCAGGTCATCCCAGGCACTGGACCATCCTAAAGCCAGGAAGTCTCTGATATGGTGAATGTCAAATCCGTTGCTGGAACTAGGCCAATCCTTCCTTCCGATGAACTGGATCGTTCTCCCCATGGATGCTGGGGACACCCATGGCTCAGGGGACTTGGGACTCGGAGGAAGGCTCAAGTTCCAATCAACATCCTGGAGCTGGAGTTTGGAGTCTTTCCCTTCTACAGTTGAAAGACCTTCTCATGGAATTTCCAGTCAGAATACAGTCCAAAAAATGCCACAGTGGTTATATGTGAACCATAATAGAGGCACATGAAGTATCACAACTCAGGAGACAGAGCTCATCTTAGACTTAGGAGGAGACAAATATTCCAGCCATATCTACTGCGTACATTCAGGGAGTGGAAATCTCGCAGGTGGACTTTCCTAGTCATCAGAAACTGATGCCGGGGAATGGTTGTTAAACCCAGAAGTGTTGAGGGAGGATCTGTCATTGTTGCAGTTGCAGCACATTCCTGGTAGAACTGCTTGCTGTTGAGGCCATACATATCAGCAAGCAATTAAGGTGTAATGGGACCCTAGGCAAGGTAGCAGCTTTGACCTTCTTCCAACACTTTAACATTGAGAAAAAAAATCTAATAGGCACAAAAAAACCAACCTATTTGTATTCTTTCCACTGTCATAGTCCCATTGGAAACCAATAAATACATCCTCCCTCGTAAGTTACAGGCAGGTGCACAGCTTTGACCAACTGCACTGTCCATTGCAACTAGTCCCCCTGGACATCCAACAGATCCTAGGTTTTTGCCTAGTTGCCGTGTGGATTTAGATTTGCGTCACTATCCTGGCTGCATCTGTGCAATACTGCTCCTTAGACTTCTATGAGACCCCCTCGGACTTCTGTAGAGGTCTATGGAGCTGAAAATATGCAGGTGGGGGCATCACAGTGAAGACTTGTGGAGCCGGATGTAAAACAAACAGCAAAGCAATGGCCTTTGAACAAAAGAAATTATGAATTTGTGTAAGGGGCAAATGGGATAACAGATGCAGAGCCTGAATGTCCATTCAGTCAATGTATACAGCCTGTATAGCCAATGCATATCCATTCACTTATATAGACTGCCCACATGCAGCTCAAAGCTAGTATAGAAAGATACACAACTCTTCATACTGTACGGGGCTGGTTGCAATCATGAAAGAATGAGTCATATCAAATTAACAAATTGACTAGATCATACAACACAACAATATACAAGCTTATTGAAAATAAACTATAATATTTTTTAACTCGTCATCAGCATTGGGTATACAGGTTGGCTTTTTTGCTCAGCCTCCCCCCCAATGGCTTTACAAAGCTATTTGGCCCCCCCCCTCCTAAAAAATACAAACAACAAAAAAAAATTACTACAATGTACAGTATTCTCTCAGCACCCATAGAGATGGGGGGGGGGGGGGGGGGGGGGGGGCGGCATTGGGCTTGTCCAGAAAATTTTAAGCCATTTTGTGCTGGGGATATGGGCTGGCATAAAAGTGAACCTACTGTATGGCATGAAAGGTCTGCTTTAAAAAAAAAATGTTCTAACCGTTGTACCCAACCGTCCACATAATAATAAAATCACTCGTGGAACTTACTTTTAACAGTTTAGAACTGTAATCATTAGAAATTTGTTGCAGTGCTTTTAAAAGTAAATATATTAAGGTGGGAGAAGACCGCTGCCAGTTTTTCAGGGATGCCTCTGGCTGTACTTCCTGTCCTGCTTTTAATTTGCCTTCAGATATATTTTGTATCTCTTTCAGCATTATTGGTGCAGAATCCTTGATTTATTGAAATATGGGGATGTAAATACAAATTCTATATTCTACTATTCCCTTCCTTTGTGAAATACATGCCAGCCTTACCAATCTAGCAGAACTTCATCCAATCTGCTAGAATGACAAAGTAATGTTTCAAGCCAACTAAGGAACCAAGTGCTATAGGGAACATACAACCATTGTAATGAAAGCAATTGAAGGTATTTTTATCTTATAATGTCAAAGAGTGTGAGGTCAGCCACAGTAAGTTGCTTTCCACTGATATCACAATCATATACATTTTTCAGACAAATATTAAAACAGGTAGGCTATGCTTCAGTACTCAAAATCAGGGTTTTACCATTGATATTTCTAGGTTAAATCTATCACAGTCAGTTGAAATCCAAATTGATTTCTGCATCGACCCAGGTTACTTTCCTGCATACAAGCTATTAAATTAAAATGGTTTGCTTGTGTTGTCAGATGTCATATGCTGCCTTGCAAACACTGGCTAAGGAAAAGTGTGACCAGAATTCATATATAGAGAGGTGTGTGTCTGTTTAGACATAAAAGGATGTAGGTTTACAGAGAATTTAATACACTAGCTAAACCATAACAGACAATAAAGACAAAAAGACTAGACTCAATTTCACCTGTGTCAAATGTCATTTTAATCTTTCTGAATGAAAGATTTTCACAGTATAAAAAAGTAAATAATAATAAAAAAATGAAAACAAAAACACAGCAAAGCCAATATACACTTGGCGAACAGAACGTTAATAAAATCCAATGCCGAATCCAGAGAACTGGAACTGCTTATCCTGCTTATTAAGTCCAGAATCCCATGGTGTATTCGAACATAGCACCAGCTGTCAGGTAAAAATAATATGAAAGAATACAGAGGAAAATAAAGAAATAAGACATTATTTCTGTCTTGCTCTACTGTAGCCAGATACATTATTTTGGTTGGTAAAAGACAATGAATGGGAAATACACATAGCAGAGGAAGAGGGGCTATTAAAAGGTGCTCTGGTTAAAATGGCAAAGTACCTTCCCCAATGCACCCTTCTGAAGGCTTCACACAAGACACACAGTGGAGGAACTGAAGTGATGCAAGTGCTTGGTAAAGGACAGATTAAAAGATGCAGTAACATATTTAAAACAATGGTGGCTTATGCTCCTACAGTCTTTTTAATGGGACTGATAAGCAAGATGTTAGACATCTCTAACTTCATTAAGAAATATTCTAATGAGTTCCTGTTTATGGAATATTATAGTATCTAAAATCTATTAATTTGTGAGATTTGAATTAGTTTGGCAGATATTTCAGGAGCCAGCATTCAGGAAGGGGGGTAAAAAGCATTTCAGATTGTTAAGGCTTCCTGTACATTGGTTTAACCACACTTTTAATTTGCTTTGTGATGAAGGAGAACATGCTAAGAAAGCATGCTTCAGGTTAAAAAAGGGAAAAAGACCAATGACAAAATCTAAAGAAAAAAAACATATTGTTAGTGCTGATGAGGCTTGTTAGATTTGTTGTTCCTACAAATCAATCTTATCTGCTGCCCCTCCCTAGTTTTAAAGTGTACACTTTACACCTTGAGCTTCTTAAAAGTCTAAAATCAGTAAGGCAAAAAGCTCTTCAAGTCTCTACACTCAAAACACTTGCAGAGCCAAATCAAAGATCCACTGACAGAAGACTTTCAAGCTGCCCAAAGTTTTTTCTATGGTTATAGGTTGTCCACAGCTTTGTTGCAAGTCCCTGTTGCAGGGAATAAAGGGGCATGTGTATATGACCTAGATTTAGGGACTGTTTCACCTTTTGCGTAAAAAAAAAAAAAAAAAAAAAAAAAAAAAACAAACCCAAAAAACAATAAAATACCCTAGCAGCTCAAGTAATGTAACTGTTGTAATTTCAATGTAGTGTTTGGATTACATAATGCAATTATCAAAATTAAGCTGGTCCTAATCTTACAGGCAGAAAAAAAATATATATTTTTTTTTTACCTCATAAAATTGACCATTTATTGTTCCCTGTGTGATACTATTGTAGTGGATGAACTATTAACAACTTAGGAAGCTAGGGTTTATAATTTATGGAGAAATAGTGAACATAGACATTCCAGGCATTATGGCATGTAGGATTCATTCTCTTAACACACAAATATTGCCCATGCCACTTCAATGCAGGGGAGTGATGCAAAACAGATTTCATGCCACGTGTGATGCCAACAATGAGGACCTGAATACAAGAGCTATAAAATGCTGTTGGCCGTGATAGAAAAAAATACAAATAAAAAAGGGCAATTGAGACGCAGTATTAAAAACCCTTAAACAGCTTGTGAAAGTGTGCAAAATGGAGCAGTGGGGAACCAGAGGTCAGAAAACTTGTTAAAACAAGTTTACTGATGACATTAGAAGAGAGGGGAAATGTAGGAAGTGCAGGCATCATTGTGCCACATTGGAAGTGGTTTTCTTCAGGCTAAAGTTGGTCCAGTTTACAGCCACTTTCTGCCGTGTCTGCTTTGCAGAGTCCAGACAGAACCTAGGAAACAAAAAAAAAAATAGATAGTTATTGCATTTTGGGACTATTTTGCTGCCAAAGCATAATACCATGTCACTGGTCTAATCATATGAAATCATGGGATCTCCTCTTTCTCTAGCATTGAATGGGTTCTGAAAGCTGCAGATAACATGCAATGAAGGGGCAATACTCTCTGCAACATTCTCCTTTGATATCATGACAACATCCTTGGCTCAGAGGAGTGAGTTAAATGATACTGGGTGTCACTCAACTTTAACCACTAGCGTACTGGGCACTTGTACCCCCTTCCTGCCCAGGCCAATTTCCAGCTTTCAGTGCTGTCGCACTTTGAATGACAATTGCACGGTCATGCAACACTGTACCCATATGAAATTTTTATCATTTTTTTGTGACAGATAGAGCTTTCTTTTGGTGGTATTTAATCACCTTATTTTTTCTTAAGCAAACCAAAAACCACTTAAAATTTTGAAAAAAAAACCCATTTTTTCTTAGTTTTTGGTATAAAATTTTGTAAATAAGTGATTTTTCTCCTTCACTGATGTGCACTAATGAGGCTGCAGTGATGGGCACTGATAGGCTGCACTGATGGACACTGACAGGTGGCACTGATGAGGAGGCACTGATGGGCATTGACAGGCATCACTGATGGTCACTGATACATGGCACTGATATATGGCACTGATAGGCGGCACGGACTGGCACTGATTGGCAATGATAGGTGGCACTGACTGGCACTGATTGGCATTGATAGGTGGCACTGATGGATGACACTGAAAGGCAGCTCAGATGGGCACTGATATTTGGCATTGATGTGCACTGGTATGCACTGATATGTGGCATTGATAGGCACTGGCACGTGGCACTGATCGGCACTGACAGCTGGCACTGACAGCTGGCACTGATGGACTTTGACAGGTGGCACTGCTGGGGCTACACTGATCATCAGGGCACACTGATCATCAGTGCCCTGATGATCAGTGTACATGTCCCCTCCGCGGAAAGCCGATTACCGGCTCTCCTCTCCTCTCGAGCTGTCATCGTGACAGCTCGAGAGGAGAGAAATGCCGATAACCGGCATTTCCGTGTTTACATGTGATCAGCTGTGATTGGGCACAGCTGATCACATGACAGAGCCGACATTTTCGGCTCTTTCCGTGACCGGTGATCCGCTGTGTCCGAGGGACACAGCGCAGTGCTAATTGCCACGCTGCGCAATCCCTGAACCGCGCATGCCCGCGGTGAGAACGGGAGGACGTCATATGACGTCCTCTCAGAACGAGAGAACCCACCTTGCGTCCGTCATTGGACTATATGGTGGGCGGGAGGTGGTTAAAGAGGACCGATACTGGGCCAGAAAGGTAACAAATGGTATAGCAATAGTGTGTAAAGTGGACAAGTACAGCCATCTGGCAGACTTGCCCTCATTTCAAGTCCTAGTGATCAAGCAGTAAGTTAAAAGATTCTCCCAAACAAAGACACAGAAAACCATAAAATAAACCGCAGCTCTCATATTCCTTCCTGGATGATTCCATGGAGCACAAATTAAACATAATACATACGGTATAGTATTAACAATACAAATTAAGCAGCCTTAACCTGACAGTGCAAACATACTGAGTAGTAAAGTATAAAAAAAACAAATTCTCACATCTCACCTCTTGAAATATTCTACTTCTCGATCGGTCTCATCCATTTCCATGCTGTCTACATCCTTAGGAAGGAACACATCATCTACAACAAGCAAAGAGAGGTTTTCAAAAAATCAAACAAAATAAGTATTTTGTGGTAATACATTTGTATTTATTGACTCATTTAGCTGTGTAGATTAAACCTGTAGATTATAACTACAAGCTTTCAAGGCAGTTTAGATCTCTAAAACTGTCCACACTCACATTTAACAATCTGGTTGTCGTCAAATTCCTCTACAACTATGTAGAACCTAAACATCTAATCCAGCCAATTCTCAACCAGGGTTCCATGGACATCTAGGATTCCTCCAGAGGTGCTAGGGGTTCCCTGAGCTGTGGCTGATTGACCTCCCATTACCTGCATAGATCTAGGGCCAAGGCCACTTGGCAGAGTCAGCTGCATGAACCCAAAGCTGTCTGTAAGGGTGGCATTGTGACCACCACTGAGACACTCTTCCCACTGGTTCCCATTGAATGGGTTGTTGCAAGAGCTCTCTTTCGGTGGTATTTGATCGCCTCTGCGGTTTTTATTTTTTGCGCTATAGCAATTTTGAGAAAAAAAAAAAAAGACAGTAATTTTTGACGTCTGCTATTAACATGTCCAGTAAAAAGATTTTAAAAATCTAATTTCATCATGAATTTAGGCCAAAATGTATTCTGCTACATGTCGTTGCAAAAATAAATAAATAAAAATAATCCCAATATGTGTAAATTAACAGGTTTACGTGAAAGTTATAGCTTTTACAAATGGCGGTATAGATACTGGAATTTTTTTTTTCTTTACTAGTAATGGCACCGATCAGTGACTTATAGCAGCACTGCAGCGGGCATTCTGACACCGGGGGGGGGGGGAACTAATGGTCACTGACATCCCCTGTAACACCAATACAGTGATCAGTACTAATAAAAAGCACTGACACTGTACTAATCACACTGGGCAGGCAGGGGTTAACATCTGGGGCGATCAAAGGGTTAACTGTGTGCTGTTTTACTGTGTGCTTTACACTGTAAGCATGCTGCTTTGTATGGCTCTGCTACGTAGGGCCATACAAAGCAATGTGCAGGAGCAGGCAAGGGAGAGATCTGTATTGTTTACATACAGGTCTCTCGCCTGTCAGTGATGCACGACGATCGCGGGGTGCCGGCGGGGAATCACTGATCGAGAGGTGAGGCCGCCGACGGCGGCTTGGGTAGGTTGTGTGCCCCCTCCCCAGAAATGCAAGATCACATACATATATACATATACACACACATGTACATTTGCGTACCCCTGCCACCCTGTAGCAGTATATCTGCTACAGGGCAGCGGGAAAGCGGTTAATACATGAATGCACATTTGATGGCTAGCAGAGCTCAAATGTCTAAGTTCTAGCAAAAAAAAAAAAAAGTGGTATTAAACCTAAAAACAAAACTTATATTTCAGCTTGCCAGTTCTTAGCTGTGGTGGCTGCAGTCATTTTCTTTTTACAGATTTTTTTCTTTATTTTTACCTGGTGATCTGGCCAGTAAATCTGTTATTTTCAACTTCCATTACCAGTCCAAACTGTCCAGCAGGAGTGTCAGTTTGAGGGTTGAGACAAAGCTTTTAACACTGACAGGGGTGCTTACAGTGGTCAGCTTTTAGTCATTTTGTAAAACCTTTATCCCAAATGGAAAAAAAAAAAAAAAAAAAAAAAAAAAAACTGTTGCAGAGTTTAGTTTTAATTTGTTGGTTATGTCCATCTAAAACTGCTAATCCATCTAACACTACTATAGCCCCAGACTGAAAGTGCTGTTGGCCACCATAGCAATTAGGCACTGCCACCACAAACTGTGTCACATTGAAGCAGTGAGCAAGTAGGACAAAAATAAAACAAAAGGTTTGGTTTCATGCAGACATGAATTAAAATGGGCAGAACATTACAGGCCTCAAAAATGCCCACTACAAAGTGTAACCTCCCCTTTCCAAGCTATCCTTAACCTCCTGATTTGAAAAGGTACACATTTCCACATCTGTTAAGCATTGAAATGTGTAGCACTAACAAACACTGCATGTAATTTTCTTGTTGTGCCATCCCAAAGATCTCCATTACTTCCTATGGCAGGCCGTCTCACTGGGACACCATTATTAGCACAGGCTGGTCAGTGTTTACAAAACAAGGGTTCTTCTGGATGCTTTTCTATATCCATGAGCTGTACAATCTCACCCTCAGGACTTGATAACACTGCAACATGCGGTAACATGCATTCCAATGAGTGGTTCTGTTTTAAAGGGTCCCATTCAGCAGACTGAAATGGGAATAAAAAAAAAAAAAAAAAAACACAAAAAAGGCAGCATGTGTGATTTTCCCAATGTGCTCCAAAAGTGGAAATGCATCATGTAGAGGAAAGAATTTCTCGATATATTTTACCTACATCACAAAATGCTTGGAAATATGTATAATATGCATGAGATGTAGTGGTTCTAAAAATAGAAGGTTGGCTCCCACTGCTGTCAATCACAGCCAGTGAGGAGGGAGAGGGGGCAGGGCCAAGCAGCGCTCTGTGTACCTTATGGACATACAGAGCAGGGATTGGCTATGAGTACACATGAACACCCCCACAGCAAGTGGCTTGCTATGGTGGACATTCGGCAGCGGGGGACCGGAGAAACAGAGGGATTGTGGCTGCTCTGTGCAAAATTATTCCACAGAGCTGGCAAGTATAACAGGTTTGTTATTTTTTAAAAATTATTATGCAATGACAAGCTTTTTTTTTTTTTTTTAGCTTTGAATGGAGTGGGAATGGTTGAGACCCGCAAGTTTTTGTTCTGCTCTCTGGGAAAGAAGTGAAGTGAAGGGAAATGCCTCCAATGGGACACAGAGACACAGCAGGAAGAAAAGAGCTCCATGAATTGATGGGATATCCCCTCTTAGACAAATGTCCTGCATGAGTGCATTTTCTGCTGGAGTGTGAAGCAGTAGTTGAACACAAAAGTTTAACTAAAAGCAGTTTAACTAAAAGCAGGAAAACTAAAGCAGCAAGAAGATACAACAAAGAACTCTACTGCACTCTGGAAGGACTGCAAGCAAAACACCCTAGGAAACATCTCCTACAAATCTGATTCCCACTCCATCTACCTTTTAATATGCCCCTTCTACTCATCCTTTTCATATTACTATTCTCAAAATCTCATTTTGTTACCACTCTGCTCCACCCCAAAGCTTATACATATCACCCTTACTTCTACCATCTCCCTACTACCGCTCTCATCACCTCCTGCTGTTACTTATCTCACCTGCAGACCCAAACACCAGGACAGGAAGGCAAGTGCACTCATACATCCCGCTCCCATCTTACTTTTCTCACCCTCCTTCTCCTAACCTCTGGGGATATCTCCCCGAACCCCGATCCTCCAGTATCTCACCTCCACACCAGGCACCCTTCTTTCTCCAGGAATAGTTGCAATCCACTCAATTTAATCTCAATCCCCATGTTCCTAAAAACCACCCTCCCTTTTTCATGCGCACTCTGGAATGCCCGCTCTGTCCATGACTTTTTTGTCTCTCCCACTCCCTTAACCTACTAGCAATTACAGAAACCTGGCTTCAAGCAGCAGATTCTACTTCTCCCACAGCACATTCCTATGGAGGCCTCCCCTGGACTCACTCATTTAGACCCTGTGGTCAGAAAGGAGGTGGAGTTGGTTGCTTCTATTTTCACTGACCACCTTTCAAGTCCTCCCTACCCCTCCCTCTCTATCCGTCTCTTGAAACTCACTGCATTCAGCTGTTTTCTCCCATTTCCCAAGGACTGCAGTGATCTATTGGCCTCCTGGACAAGTGTTGTGCTTTCTTGATGACTTCTCTGCCTGGCTACCCTACTTTCTCTCCTCTGAACTACCCACTATCATTCTTGGAGATAACATCCCCTTTAATGTGAACAACCCAGCTACTTCCCAACTCTTCAACCTAACCTCATCTTTTGCCTTAACACAATGGACACAGCCACTCGCTCTGATGTGAATACATTAGACCTTGTTTTCTCCCATCTTTGCACTCCCTACAACCTCACAAACACCCCCTTTCCTCTCTCTGATCACAATCTCATCACCTTCACAGTGTCCTCGTCTTCAAACACCTATCCCTCCAAGCAGCAAACAATTACCCACAGAAACCTTCACAACTTTAACCCTTCTCTTTTCCACTCTGTAACTGACCGTCTCTATGACAGAATCTCTCCCCTGTCTTGCCCTGACCTGGTCACTTCTGTCTACAACAGCTTGCTTTCATCCACATTAGACTCACTTGCTCCTCTAACTACACGAAGTATCAGGCCCTGACCATTACAACCTTGGCAGACTGACGACACCAGAAATCTTAAACGACATAGTTGTGCACTGGAGCGACTGTGGCATAAAACCAAATCCCAGCAAGCATTCCTCCTATATAAATCTGCTTTCCTAAAATACAATTCCTCCCTCCATACTACCAAACAAGCCTGCTTTGTCACTCTTATTAATACCTTGTCATCTCTTCTCTACTTTTATTTCTCTACTTTCTCCACCTCCATCCAGTAACTCACTCACTGCTTACGGGATTGCCAATTGTTTCAAAAACAAGATTGATGCAATTTGTAAGTGCATCTCCAATACACAGACACCTATCCCACCAAGCATATCTTATACTAAACCTCCTTCAACATTTTCCTCTTTTGACCTTGCTACTACTGAAGAGATCACTAAAAGGTGTTCTCAGAAGCTCATCTCACCACCTGCCCCCTGAATCCTGTTCCCTCACAACTACTATGGTCACCCTCTTTTTCTATCCTATGCTCCCTCACTCACATCTTCAATCTCCCCCTCTCTACTGGTACCTTCCCCTCCCCTCTAAAGCATGCGCAGATCACTCCCATACTTAAAAAGCCCTCACTGGACCCCACCAATCTGAACAACTTAAGACCTATCTCCCTACTCCCGTTTGCCTCTTAACTCTTAGAACACTTACTCTACAATCGCCTGAGCTCCTACCTCACTGACAACAACCTTCTGGACCCTTTACAGTCTGGCTTTCGCTCACTACACTCAACTGAAACTGCCCTACTAAAACTCACTAATGATTTACTAACTGCTAAAACCAATGGCCACTACTCCATACTCTTACTACTTGACCTTTCTGCAGCTTTTGATACTGTTGACCATCCCCTTCTCCTCAAAAAACTCCACTCTCTTGGCCTCCGAGACTCTGCTCTCTCCTGGTTCTCCTCCTACCTATCGCACCACTCCTTCAGCATTACCTTGAACTCTGTCTCCTCTTCCGCTTTCTGTAGGGGTCCCTTGAGGTTTTGTCCTTGAACCCCTTCTCTTCTCCATCTACACCTCCTCCCTTGGTACTTGAAGCCATGGGAGTTTATCAAGTGACCATCTCTATGCGGATGATACACAAATCTATCCATTCCTCACCTTGCCCCATCAGTCTCCTCTCGCATTACTAACCTACTACGTAACATATCAGCATGGATGTCACTCTACTTCCTCAAAATAAAGCTTTCTAAAACTGAGCTCACACTATTCCCTCCAGCCCCTGCCCCCTCCCCTGACTTCTCCATAAAGATCAATAATACAACCATCAGTCCCTCCCATCATGCCAGGGTACTAGGTGTAATCCTAGACTCCCATCTGTCCTTTCTGTCCCAAAACCAATCACTGTCCAAATCTTGTAGACTTCACCTCCTGCAGCATCTCCAAGATGCACCTGTTTTTAACCTCTGAACCTACGAAGCAACTCATTCACTCCGTTGTTATCTCTCACCTTGACTATTGTAACTCCCTCCTCATTGGCCTACCTAATCGCAGGCTATCCCCTCTTCAGTCTATCATGAATGCTGCTGCCAGACTCATCCACCTTACCAACCGTTCCATATCTGCCATCCCTCTCTGCCAATCCCTCCACTGGCTTCCCATTGCCCAACAGATAAAATTAAAAACATTAACAATAACATATTAAAGCCACTTATAACTCTGCTCCAAATTACATCACCAATCTGGTCTCCAAATATCACCCAAACCATCCTCTCTACTCCTCCCACAACCTCCTGCTCTCTAGCTCCCTTGTCTCCTCCTCCCATGCTCATCTCCAGAGCCTCTCCCATCCTCTGGAACTCTCTACCCCAATCTAACCAAGTATTGCCCACTTTTAGGCGATCTCTGAAAACCTCTCTCTTCAGAGAAGCCTATGCTTCCTTCAGCCAATAACCAAATCTTCCCTTTCTCTTATTAGTTCATCCCCCACAGTTATTACCATTTGAACCACCAGCCCCTCCCTCTTAGATTGTAAGCTCCAAGGAGCAGGGACCTCCTAACCCTCTTGTATTGAACTGTATCATTGCTGTATTGTCTCCCTTTACATTGTAAAGCACTGAGCAAACTGTTGACGCTATATAAATCCTGTATTATAATAATAATAATCTCACAGTGACAGGTTTTCCCATTGGATGATTTTTTTCCTTACAGCCTAATCCTGTAACAACTAAAACACACTGAGGGGCATTTATCAAAACTGGAGCAGCCAGAATTTGGAGTGGCTATGCATGGCAATCAATCAACTCCAGTCTTTCACTTTGCATCACTGTACAGGCTGAAGACAGAAGCCGACTGGTTGCCATGCACAACTGCTACAGATTCGGTCTACTCCAGTTTTGAAAAATGACTCCACCTATTGGTTTTGATTTTTAATTTTTTGGGAAAAAGAAAACCTTATATCTGACTTGATTTTAAAGTTTTACCGTTTCAAGTTTCGTATATCTACCCCAGTGTACAGGTACAGTTAGTAGAAAAACAAAAGATCTGGAAAAAAAAAAAATATGAAACATACCAACAGATACACTTGGTTTATCCATTTTGTTCCTACTTTTCTTGGCTTTGCTTTTAGACCCAGCTGTGGTTCTGGCATCTGTCCTTTCAGATCCAGCTGGCTCATATTTCTCTTTTTCTGGCCTGGAGGTAACTGAATTCACAGTGTCTGGTCCTTGCCTTGAAGTCTCTTCCGTTTTCTCAAGTAAAGGCTTGCGTTGGGCTTTTACTCCTGTTGTAATTATTTTAGGCGGTGCACCTTCCCCAATATGAGGGTCACACTTTCGTGTTTGGAGGTTCGTTTTTTTGCTCTTCTTTGTACGACCTCCAGAGAGAGAAGCCCCTGGCTGAACTTGGAGTCTCTGATTTTCAGAACTAACCAATACCTGGTTTTCTAGGGTACTGGAAGAAGTTTTATCCCCATTTTCCCCAGATTCTGAGTTCTTCTGAGACTGAACCCAGATCATACGAGAGAGATTAGGAACAGCACTTAGCCTTTTCACAACACCATTTTCTGCAGACTGAATGGAATTATGAACTTCATTCTCTGCCAGTTTTGTTTCCTGGCTTTTTGAAACACCAAGTGTAAGGGGGGACAGGTCAAGATCAATCTCTTGGAGATCAGAAGAACCGTTAAGGTGGGAAAGCAAATTTTTCTGCTCCAGCACAGCAGCTTTTTTAGGGAAATCATTGACATCGAGATTTAAATCATAGACACTGAAGCTAGCCCTAATAGAGTCTTTGATGGTATTCTTGATCTCTTCAAGCCGGCTTGTTAGAAAACTATTCACCCGCTCCAACTCAAGCTGAGGCCACTGGAGCAACTTTTCTCCTGAAGATGGAGCCCCTGTGTCTTCAACAGATGAACCATAGATGTCAGATTTCTCAGTTCCAACATCTTGAAGGGCTTTCTCCTAGACATACGGAAATTAAAAGTTAATGAACCTGTTCAAAATATCATGTTTTTTACAGTCAACATCAATACCAAATATTGTACTCTAAGCAATCATCAGATCCTAATTTAAAATCATAGCACAATGTTATGTAACTAACACACACAATGCTGTATACTGTCAATACTGAATATCAGGTATCAAGGAAACTGATATTTAAATAAATGATTGGTTGATTCAGGTGTGCATATGATCTGCACTCCCATAAAAAACACATCTGCTCTTTTCAACATATTTATTTAAATATTAACATAACCAATTAAAAGTAAGTTTAAAGTGATTATAAAATAGTATATATTTTTTTTAAATACTTACCTGCTCTGTGCAATGGGTTTTGCACAGAGCAGCCCCAAACCTACACTTTTGGTACTCCTGGTTCTTCCCCTCTTGTGTGCGCCCCCATTGCAAGCAACATGCTATGGTGGCACTGGTGCAGGCTCGATTCCGTGTCTATTTTGTGTGTCTATTATCTATAGTGTGACTAGGCCCTGCACCCTCCTTACAGAATTTGATTGACAGTACCTAGAGCCAATAGCTCCTGCTGCTGCCTCCATGTCCATAGAAGAGAGAGAACACACAGCCACTGCTCTCGAGCACAGTGCTGGATCAAGATTAGGCCCAGATGGGTATCTTGGGGGCTGCGGGGAGCTGAACACAGGTTTTTTTACCTTCATGCATAAAATTAAATTAAAAAGCCTTCTGGGTTTACAATCACTTTAAGGGGACCTCAGTAGAACTGCCAAAACTCATAAGGCTAGAATCGGAAAGTCACTTGACAACCGCCCGTACCATACTTGTACTGCGGATGGGCAGCAATTACAGGCAGAGTAACATACCAGTAAATTGCTCTGGCTGTACTAACACAGCCCCCCCCCCAACTTCCCGCAACTCTGATGCAAGTTTTATATTATTTTTTTTAAATAATAAAAAATACTAAAATTATGCTAAGAAAAAAAATTGAGCAAAATGGTTTTTAATTTTTTTTAAATTTTAAACTACTTGCCGACCCACCCGCGATGTGCGGGCAAGCGGCAGCTCTGGGCAAAGCAATGTACCCTTTAAGTCACTTTTCTATTTTTGAGTAAAAGCACTACATTTTACACACACACAAATATACATTCGATTAGCACTTTTAACCCTCTGATCGCCCCTATTAACCCTGTGATCACCCCATCACCCAGCCAGTGCCATTAGTAGTGTCAGTATATAGAATTTTTCACTGATTACTGCATTACTGCCACTAGCGACATCAGATAACATCTGGATCAGTTAGTGCCCCTCCCAGCCAGGGTCAGCAAGCATTAGATTGCCCGCACACTATAGGTCGTTTATCACCCCCAATACTAGTATAGTGTTTGTACAGATCAATATGCTGATCACAAACAGAACTATATTAGTGCCTCCTTAGTATAATGTCCCCAAAAACGCAGTGTTAGCAGGATCAGCCCTGTTTGCTGCTAGCACTAGCGTTTAGCCCCTCTGCTGTTTTTCACTGAAGATTTTTTTACACGGGAGATATGTATCAGTTGATTGTGGGCCAAGAGAATTTAGACACACAATACATCGCTGCCCACCCAAATTCAACTCTTGCCAGACAATTCGCATGGGAACCTAAGGGAGACTAAGAGAGCCAACTCCTTCTGTACCTTCTCCAGTTTCTCCCCTGGGTACCTTGGAATTGGGGGTCTCCCCAGCATCCTCAATGGACAGACATATGACAAATCAAAACTCAACAATGATTTCTGAACTTCAAGACAGACTGGAAGAAGTGTATGCTAAAACTGAAGATTTGGAAAACGGGTCATGCCGGTATAATGCACGCATACAGAGACATCCGGAAAGCACCGCTGACCTCCCCTCCCGTCCTCCTACCCAGTCACAGAGGCCTTTATATTATGTGAACTCATTAACAGAATGCAGGAGCTTCTCTGAGTGGGTGGCGGAAGGGAGGAGCAGGCATAGCTCCTCTGTCTGCTTCTCTGCTCTTTTTCACGGCCCTGAGCGTCCAAGCGTATTCTTAGAAAAAAATAAACCGGTCAAAAAACAAAACAAAGGAGAAGTTCAGGAGATGTTATGCAACTCCTTGGACTTGACTCGTGGTGTGTCTTCATTTTTTTGCAAAGTGGTCAAATTTCTGGAATTCAGCTTTCACTCTCCAGCATTTACCTAACACCAAATATCATTTTTGGATAGACTGGCCATCTGACTTCGAAATTATTGGCCTTGGGAAACATTTTTTGGAATCTCTATTTCTGCAAACAATGATATATATTGATCTCTTAGATTGTAAGCTCCCAGGAGCAGGGCCCTCCTAACCCTCTTGTATTGAACTAGTATATAAATCCTGTATACGAATACTACTACCTGGAGGGGGCGGTCCACATACTTAAAAAGGATTTGATCTCCGATACATCACCACACTAGATGAAAGTGGACAGGATCCACCGTGACTTAACAGCTCCTCGATCAGATGGCCTCCCACGAGACATTATAGTAAAGCCACATTTTTACAGGATTATTGTTATATGGTATTTATATAGCGCCAAAGGGTTTGCTCAGCGCTGTACAATAGCGAGGGGGACAGAACATGTTACAATACAGTAACAATACAATACATGACGGGTTCGAGGGCCCTGCTCTTTCGAGCTTACAATCTAGGAGGGAAGGGATAGTGGTACAGGAGGAAGTGGCTGTGGGGGATGGAGTGGTGGGAGGAGTGGAGAAGATCAGTTGTTAGGTGAGGATGGGGTAGGCTTCCCTGAAGAGATGGGTCTTCAGGGTGCGCCTGAAGGTGAGGAGGGTAGGTGACAGTCTGATGGATTGGGGTAAGGAGTTCCAGAGGATGGGGGAAGTCCTGGAGAAGTCCTGGAGTCAGGCGTGGGAGGAGGAGACCAGGGAGCTAGAGAGTGAAAGGTCCTGTGAGGAGCGAAGGGCATGGGTAGGGTGGTATTTGGGTATCAGGTCAGTTAGGTAGTTTGGGGCGGTGTTGTGAATAGCTTTGTAGGTCAGCGTTAGTAATTTGAATTTGATGCGCTGGGCAATCGGAAGCCAGTGAAGGGATTGGCAGAGGGGGGTGGCAGATGTGGAGCGGTTGGTGAGGTGGATGAGTCTAGCTGCTGAGTTTAGGATAGACTGGAGTGGGGACAGCGTTTTTTTTGGGTAGGCAGTTAAAGGGAGTTGCAGTAGTCCAGGCGTGAGATGGTGAGGAAGCGTATGAGTTGTTTAGTAGTGTCTGGGGTGAGGAATGTACGTATCTTGGAGATGTTGCGGAGGTGGAGCCTGCATGATTTTGATAGTGATTGGACATGAGGCTGGAAGGAAAGGTTTGAGTTCAGGGTGACACCCAGGACTTTGGCGTGTGGGGTGGGATTGATGGTGGCTTTGCTAGTCGTGATGGAGAGGATTGGGGGGGGTGCGGGCTGGGGGGAAAACCAGGAGCTCGGTTTTGGACGGGTTTAACTTGAGGAAATGGAGCGACATCCAGTCTGATATGTCGTTCAGGAGGTGGGCGATGCGGGCAGAGAGGTAAATTTGCGTGTCGTCGGCATAGAGGTGATAGTTGAAGCCGTGGGAGTGTATCAGTTTGCCAAGGGAGGAGATGTAGATGGAGAAGAGGAGGGGACCGAGGACAGAGCCTTGGGGGACTCCAACAGAGAGGGGGAGAGAGGGGGAGGTGGCAGCGTTATTGGTGACATTGAAGGAGCGTTGGGATAGGTAGGAGGAAAACCGGGAGAGAGTAGCGTCCCTGATGCCAAAGGAGTGCAGTTTGGTAAGGAGGAGGGGGTGGTCGACTGTGTCGAAGGCCGCGGAGAGGTCAAGGAGCAGGAGGACTGAGTAGTGGCCATTAGCTTTGGCGGTTAGCAGGTCGTTAATGATTTTAAGTAGGGCGGTTTCGGCGGAGTGTAGGGGACAGAAGCCAGACTGTAGTGGATCAAGGAGGTTATCAGTGAGGTGGGTGCTTAGGCGATTGTAGGCTAAGCGCTCAAGGAGCTTGGAAGTGAATGGTAGCAGGGAGATGGGTCAAAGGTTGTTTAGATCAGTGGGGTCAAGGGAGGGTTTTTTGAGTATGAGGGTGATGTATGCGTGCTTTAGGGGTGAGGGGAATGTGCCAGTAGAGAGGGAGAGATTGAAGATGTGGGTGAGGGAGCGAATGATGGAGGAGGGGGGTGACTGGAGGAGTTGTGAGGGGATAGGGTCCATGGGGCAAGTGGTGAGGCGGGCTTCAGTGAAGACCTTAGTGACCTCCTCAGTGGTAGCAGGGCTGAAGGAGCGGAGCATTGGGGAGGTGATAGTGTGCGGGGCGTTAGGTATGGTGGGGGGCAGTGCGGTTACGAGGTCAGAGGAGGGGAGAGTTGAGGGGGTGATGGAGGGAGGGGGGCTAGGTGGAGAGGTAGATTGTGAATTGACAATGTCCTTACGGATTGCATCAATCTTGTTTTGGAAATGATTATCAATCTCGTGGGCGGTGAGTGAGGTACTGAGTGGAGGTGGGGGGGGGGAGAGAGCAGGGATTTGAAAGTGGAGAAGAGCCCGCAAAAACAGGTGGAGAGGGTGTTGATGAGGGTTATGAAATAGGCTTGCTTGGCGGCGTGGAGGGAGGTGGTGTAGGTGAGGAAGGTGGA